CACACACACACACACACACACACACACACACACACACACACACACACACACACACACACACACACACACACTTCCAAGATTCAGGATGCAGAGATGATGTGTCCTGGGTGTGTGTGTGTGTGTGTGTGTGCGTGGGTGTGGGTGTGGGTGTGGGTGTGTGTTCTGTGTGGGTGAGTCTGAGTACGTGTGAGTGTTGTTATGTTCGCTATACAGAACTCAGAAAATGACTCAGCCAGACTGTTTCGTCGGCCTTCCTCCAACTCATCAGGAGGTTGAACCCCGACAGTCCGCCCAAGACAAACTGTACTGATGGCCAAGGACTCACCACGTTCGGACTGACCGCGTTCACGCGTGTGTGTGTGTGTGTGTGCGTGCGTGCGTGTGTGCGTGCATTCGGGCGTGCGTGCGTGCGTGCGTGCATGCCTGCGTGCGTGTGTGGGTGTGTGCATGTGTGCATGTGTGTGTGTGCGTGCGTGCGCGTGTGTTGATGTGTGTGTGAGTGTGCATGTGTGTCCAACGTAGAGCGAAGTCGTACTCGAGCATAGCAGCGTAGAAGTCAGTCAGAGTCAGTCTAGTCGAGCGCTGTAGCTTAGGGTATGAAAAGTCGAAAGGTGATCGGAGGGCAGGTGTGGTGTGAGGCCACGCAGTTTTTCCCGCACCACCTCCCGAAATTGGAAAAACTTTGTTACGTGTGGCCTCTTGGCGCTGGCCCGACAACGTCTGACAATACCGGTGCGGGGGCCCAGTACCTTGTGTGGTACCGGCTCCGGTGCGCGGGCCCGGTACCGAGCATGGTGCCGGCACTGGCATGCGGGACCGGTACAGGCCCTGGCGACGCCTCAACTTCTAAGAAAAAACGATCAGCAGACTATCGGGACCGTCGTGCAGCAAAAAATCGGAGGGCCCCGATCGTCCGCTTGTCGCAGGCAGGAACTTAGTGATAATTATATATGTAGTGATGGCTGCCAGCATCCACCACCAAGAATGAACTTCCTTTCCGCAGCATGCTCACAGCCTTCTGCACAGTCTCAGGAAGGCCCAACCTTGACTCCAGGTCCCCAAGCATGCTCACAGCCTTCTGCACAGTCTGGGGAAGGCCCAACCTTGACTCCA